ACATATACATGAATATATATATATATGTACATATATATATATATATATGTATATGTACATATATATATATATATGTACATATCTGGTTATGTATACATGCAGAATTGTATACACAATTACATTTACGAACAGCCGTGTTTGCACACAGCCATACACACGTACATGAAACATACGTCTGTAGATGCGCTTGTGCCCATGTAGGCATGCACATCTAAGCCCCAGTATGCCCCAGTAGTCTAAACCGAGAGTGAGCACAACAACCCTGAACCCCAAACCCTAAAGGCATCCTCAACTCTAAATCAACCCTAAATCCTATAATCCCGAATCAAACCCTTGACCTTAAATCAACCCTAAATCCTAAACCCTAACTAAACAAACCCTTACCTCTAAATCAACCCTAATTCCTAAGCCCTAATCAAACCCTAAACCCTATAATCCCGAATCAAACTCTTGACCTTAAATCAACCCTAAATCCTAAATCCTAATCAAACCCCGTAACCCTAGATCAACCCTAATTCCTAAACCCTAATCAAACCCTGAACCCTATAATCCCGAATCAAACTCTTGACCTTAAATCAACCCTAAACCCTAAACCCTAATCAAACCCCGTAACCCTAGATCAGCCCTAATTCCTAAACCCTACCCAAACCCTAAACCCTATAATCCTTGACCTTAAGTCAACCCTAAATCCTAAATCCTAATCAAACCCCTAACCCTAAATCAACCCTAAATCCTAAACCCTAATCAAGCCCCTAAACCCTAAATCAACCCTAAACCCTATAATCCCGAATCAAACCCTAAACCCTAAATAAACTCTAAATCCTAAACTCTAATCAAACCCTTAACCCTAAATCAACCCCAAACCCTATAATCCCGAATCAAGCCCTCAACCCGAAATCAACCCTAAATCCTAAACTCTAATCAAACCCTAAACCCTAAATAAACCCTAAATCCTGAACCCTAATCAAACCCCAAACCCCCTTTTTTCCGGGGTGGCCTCGTCCAAGCCCGCAATCGCCTCCCAGGAGACGCCCGGGGATCGGTCCAGCACTTCACTGAGCAGTGCCTCTGGGAGTTGGGGCTCGGCGTTCAGGATTTAGGGGTTTAGGATTTATTCTAGGTTCCTGAGTGACCCCTAAATAATAAAGGTACCCTTTTTCCTAGTGTTCGGTTTTAATAAGGAGACCCCAAAATAAAAAGGGCAAAAGGGTACTACTCAGGAACCTAGTTATAGATGTATAGGGGTTTAGGGCTTAGGGTTTAGGCCTTGGGGTGTAGGACTTACCTAATCCCCCAACAGTAGGTAAAATAATGGCCCAAGACCTTTTAAAAGGCTATGATTCTACATACTTTTGGGGTTTAGGATTTATAGATGTAGGGGTTTAGGGTTCACGGCTCAGGGTTGGGTGTACTCCAATTTTGTAGGTCCGCTGGGTCAGAGTGGGCCTATCAAGGATTCAGGTCTCAGGGCTTCGGGCATGGGTTGTCGACGCATGGTTTCACGGAACGCCTTTTCGTGCTCGTCCAGGTCCAACTTTTCTTCTGGCTTTGAAGGGCCCTGCCACGTTACAGCATTCAGGTCTATGGCGGGGCTTGCACTGCCAAGCACGTGGAAAGCTGGCTCGCAGTGTATGATAGAAGCAAACCTTACAATTGCAGCGGCAGGGGAAGCATTTTGATTGCTTGGCGCCGGCAGTGGGGATCGATCTTTGCCCCGCGGATCCTTTCAGCTCAGCTGTCACCTTTGCAAGCTTCTTGCCAGAACCCTACTGTAGTTTTTCACGAGCCCAAGACAGCTCTCCAAGCAGTGTACAAGCTGTGGCCGCTGCAGCATCCAAGTTTTCCCTCGCATCCCTCCAACCAGGTCGCAACCTCAAGCCCAATGAGTTCGTTTCAGTCCACTGCACACAGTGGTAAGTCACCAGACTGCGACACGGAAGCACGATACCTCAACGAGCGACTGCTCTCTGACATTCGGGTCCACACTCTGTGGCTTTCCTGAAACGAGACTTCGCCTGAGACGCAGTCAGAGTGTCGAAGATCGAGGTCACCGGGCTGAGCAAGTAATGTAGGGGCCTTACTAATTAGAATAGGGTTTTGGTGCCGATTATACTATAACTATAATAAGGAGCCCGTTATACTATAACTATAATTAGGAGCCCCCAAAATAGTATAGGTAATTACTAAGGCCCCTATATTACCAGCATGTGAGATGTCTTGGAAGCGGACCTTTTGCAGCTGGCCCTGCTGAAAGTAGATCGCTCCGAGCCTGAAGCTAAAGCTCTGTACCTTAAGAACCCTTTAGGGTTTAGGGTTTAGGGTTTATGGTTCTTATTACGAACCCTAATATGGGATTCATAGGGACCCTACAAAAAAGTAGGTTTGGGGTTCTTAAGGTACAGCTCTTTGCACCGTGTCTGCTCACTTCAAGCCCCACGAAGCCTGAACCCTGACTGACTGAAAAACCCTAACACCCCAAAACCCCAAGCCCTATATAGATTCTAGAGACCTTACCCCTAAAAGCCCTAAACCCTCGCATCTCCGAGCTCTTTGGGCCCATGGCCCGTTCTGCAGCTCTGCGGAATCGCCACGGCCAAGCTGCTCTGCCTGGCATGCTATAACTGAATATATCATCAAAAAGTCGTAGTAGTTGTTAGTACAGATCATGTGGTGTGTATGACAAGTGATATCTGTAACCCTCCCCCCGAACCACCTCTGCAAGGGTGCCACACTTAGAGTTTGGGTTTCGGCCTTCTTGAGAGCTCCAAGCGCATCCTCGAAGCGACCCATGACGGCGAGCGTCAGGCCGTAGTTCTCCTGCGAAGTCAAGGGTTCACCACTTGGGGAATGGGCTCAGGGCTTGCAGGGTTTTGTCCTTTGTGTTTTGTGTGTCTATGGCGCTGGCCTGAGTGATCGGCCGATCTGGAACGAGCCACAGGCTCTTCTGGTAAAGGTCCGCGACTCGCTTCACATCTGGCTTCTTCCTCGAGTGCAGGCGACAATCTGCAGAAACGACGATCCCCGTGCCGCTGAACCTGAACCTTAGCTGCCTTAGCTGGGCGTCGGACACTCGCGACTCGAGGACGGCCATGTCATGGTAGACCGATGCAGCTTGATCAGTGGACAGGCCGACGCCGATGCCGTCCTGCGAAAAACTGCGCGGCACCACTCATGGTTGAGTTACTGTGGTTATCCACCTCGTAAGACCGGAAGACAACTCAAGGACAGTCTGTGTGAGTGCCGGATCACACGGACCTGTGTCAAGAAGCACTACCCCCGAGAGAACACTGCAATCGCGGACATTTACAGCGCAAGTTCTTCTGATGTGATTTGATACTATTTCAATTTTTGAAGTTAAACCTATCAGCTATGGGAGTACGTAGGCCCGTATACCCTAAACTATTGCTGGGGTATTCTCCCGAAGAAGTCGCCTTGATCGTCGTGTCTGCCATCTCAAGCGCCTGAAAGCAGGGACGTACACACAGGAAGTGCCGTCCGCGTGTAAAAGGCCACAATATGTAATAATAACAGAATCGACTGTAAAAGCAGAAATAACGGCAACAACAAAAATAACAGAGTAATAGCAGCTACAATGGTAATCATACTACTGACACTTATGATAATGATCACTAGCTGCAGCAGAACCGAAGTTACAAATACATCGTCTGCACGGTAGGCTGAATGAAAAACTCCGTAAATGACAGAAAGGTTCATAAATGCATGTATGGTCTGTGCACATAACTTCATTCTATAGGCATCCAGTCGCGTGCTTCATTCGACATGAGCATGTGGCGTACGTATCGGGCAGGTATCCAAGAGCAGAGACGGCTTGTGTGTCACAATTCGGTAGTTTGGGTAGGCTCCAAGGAGGCACGCAGCAGTCGTTGAGCCGTAAGCTTTTCAAAGGACCCCGGCCTCACAAACACAACACGTCTTCGTTGCATTGTAGCTTGTAGCTGCCACATGGTCAACATGGCACATTGGCCTCACATCACGAGCATGTCAAGTTTTGCCGAGCTGGCAAACTTCTGTGCATCACATGCCTGAAGGGCGCATGGTACCATGACGTCCCAGGCCAGTCGCCTCAATCCGAGTTTTCGTTCCAGTGGGCCCATGGATCATGAGTCGTCCTGGGTTTGAAATTTGCAACCAGGGTCATGACCTGTCCACCACGAGGGCGGCGGAGGGTTGTTTTTGGAGTCGGAACCCCCGCTCCAAGACCAATCCTTGTGTTTTCATCCGCGGTTCTCTTCGTCCTGGCGGCTGCAGCGTGTCGAGGCCTGCCCATGCCACTTCTCCTCCTGTCATGCGTTGGCCGGCTCGCAGAAAGTTCCGGAGCGATATTTGGAGAATACCCAGCCACCGTTGTCAGCAAGTTTCAAGAAGATTGTGCCATAGAGCCCGGGCCCATCCATATATATATATATATATAGATATCAATGTAGACACATAAGCAAATAAACAAATACATAAATATACATATATACACATGTCTGTAGGTGTGTACATATGTATAATTTACAGCTGTATATATATAACATATATATATATATACATATATATGTATATATATATATACATACATACATACATACATACATACATACATATATATATATATATATGAGGCCATTCACCCAGAAGTTCCGGTCCCGGCCTTCTCCAACCAAGCCATGCCCTTACGAGGGCTCTTGGCGCCAAGGACGTGGCCCAAAGCTTTTGCTGTCAGCGCGTCGGGCCTGCACAAGCGTCTAGGGCCTAGGGTTTAGGGTCTATAGGTCTATAGGTATGAAAACCAGGAGCCCGAAAATCAGCTTTGAGAAGCCCCAAAGCAGTATTGCCCTTCGGGTAATGATGCCAGAAGATCCGAACTTCAGTGTCAAGATCCAGTGCGACCAAGAAGTAATGAATACAGTAGTGGCGCAGTATAACATTATAACCCACGATATCGTGGCAGCAACAGTACCAAATAATGTTAACTTAACAACGAACAACCATCACAACAGCAGCAATCAGTTTGGAAAACACATGTCCTTGCTACACATGCTACTTAGCTTTACCCGAGTCTTCCAACACGCCTCAAGTCGCTGCACATCATGCTATTCACTGTATTTGTATATGTATGTATGTATGTATGTATGTATGTATGTATGTGTGTATGTATGTATGTATGTATGTATGTATGTATGTATGTATGTATGTATGTGTATATATATAATATAGTACGTACAAGCTGGATATTGCCATGTTCAAGCATATCGAAACCTGAGTCTAGAGCTAAGCCAACAAGCCTAAAATATGGCATCCAGTGATATGATGAACACTAATTACAAGCCTACATAGTCGGATTCTCATTGTAAGCGCCTCTGAATAAGGACTCATACTGTCAAGAAGCCACCTCTTAATTAGTCTAGTTCGACGGCGCTATATGGTCTCCCCACATGCCCATACAAGCCCTGTTCTCAATAATGAGGCCCCTCGGAACCTCGAAAAGGACTTTCTATAACAATTATAGCACCCCGCGCAAAACTGCTGTGAAACCCGGACAAGATCCGATACGGGTAGTGCCCTTAATAGGAACGAACCCCTAAACCCCTAAACCCCTAAACCCTAAACCCTAAACCCTACGAACCCCTAAACCCCTAAACCCTCTCTCAACCCTCTCTTTCTGCATCCGACCTCAGGCTCCAGGCTTTGTCCAAAGACATCTTCGCCTGGCACTCGAGTGGGGAGTTTAGGGTTCCTTTAAAAGGGGTTTAGGGTTTAGGGTTCCTTTAAGGGTTTAGGGTTTAGGGTTCCTTTAAGGGTTTAGGGTTTAGGGTACAGGTGGGGAGTTGAGGGTATATAGGGCTTAGTTTCAATGAATCGAAGGAGAAGACAGCACGACTTCCAGACCTTAGTGGGCCCTACCCAACCAACCATACAACTAATGATCACAGCATATAGACCTTCTATACGGCTCCCATAACGGTTTTTTACCCACCTGAAAAAGTCCCAGATCGAGAGGTTTGCTCTTTGAGTTACACGGAAAGGGGCGCCAAGAGCCGGTTTCGGGTTTAGGGGTTTAGGGGTTAGGGGGTTTAGGGTTTAGGGGTTCAGGAGTTTGGGGGTTGAGGGGTTTAGGGGTTTAGGAGTTTAGGAGTTTAGGGCTTAGGCCCCATGCAAACCTTGCCAACAAGTTGAAGTAAGAAATCTTCTTTACTTGTAAGGATGCGAGTAGAACATGGCGAATTTTGTCCAACAGAACGTTGGGAGCTCTCCGGCCTGTCAACATGGGTAGTCCTCTTTATAAGGGTGCTGTACTCGTTTGGGGGCCTAAAGCCGGACCCCACTTTAGAGGACTACCCCAATCTTGATTTGATAACATGATACGTCTTGCTGCTTTGAAGCTACCCGCTAAACCCTAAACCCCTAAACCCTAAACCCTAAACCCTAGACCCTAACCCCTAAACCCTAAACCCTAGACCCTAGACCCTAGACCCTAAACCCTAAACCCTAAACACTTATCTTAACCCGAAGCTCTAGGCCTGCTCTCTAAACCCAACGCTCTAAACCTGAAGCTCTAGACCCAAAGCTCCACGCCCTAGGCTCTTTAGGGTTTAGGGTTTAGGGACTGAAAGCCCTGCAGACCCTAACCTCTAATCCCTAAGCTCTAAAACCCCAAGCTCTAAGCCCTAATCTACGCCCGAAACCCCGAGCTCTAAACCCTAAAGTCAAAACCCGAAGCTCTACCCCCTAAGCTCCAAACCCAAAGCTCTAAACTAAGCCCTACACTCTAGTCTAAACCCACTCCCTCAATCCTAGCCCTACGCACTACACTCTCAACCCACCCTAAACCCTGAACCCCAACCCCTTGCAGTCGGATCTGCACCTCCTCGGCTCTGCCCGCAGCTGCAAGGGAGACTCCAAGCCTAGCAGGGCTTAAAGGACTGATTCTAGGAGGGTTCCTTTTGAGGGTTCTGGGTTTGGGCTTATCCTTTAAGGGTTCAGGGTTTATAGGCCCTTAAACCTGGACTTCTTGGGCCTTGGGACTAAACCCTAAACCCAAAACCCTAAACCCTAAACCCCTAAACCCTAAACCCTGATTTGTGAAAGCAATCACTGCAGGTCATAACTAAGCAGGAGTACACAGCTGCCCAGCTCGGTAGGCTCCTTAAAATGGGATCAAGAAGCGTTTCTACAGGCTTTAGGGTGTCTGTTGGGGCACTAAAAGAGTAGTTCTCTAAATTAACCCTAAACCCTAAACCCTAAACCACTAAACGCGACCCTAAACCCTAAACCCCAAACCCTAAACCCTAAACCCTGAACCCTAAACCCTACAACCCTAAACCCTAAACCCTAAATTAGGGTCCCGGCTGATGCTGGAACTCCGACCAGCCGCTGTGAGCTGCCACTGCCGAGCTCCAAAGTTGAAGACCTCCTCGCCAGAGCTCACATTGCCTCAGCAGATTTATAGGGTTTTATAGGGTTTAGGGCTTATAGGGTCTAGGGTTTATAGGGTTTAGGGTTTAGGGCTTATAGGGTTTAGGGTTTAGGGTTAGAGTGTTTAGGGTTTACGGTTTTAGGGTTTATAGGGTTTAGGTCCCTAGGGCTTTGGGGTTTTGGGGTTTTAGGTTAGGGTCTAGAGTTTAGCGCTTTAGGGTTCTAGGGTTTGGGGTTTTAGGGGCATTGTATGTAGGGCTCCCGAAGTCCCTGCACGTTTTGCCGGTTGACGCTAATTCCGCTGTACGAGCAGAGGCTAGCTGGTCTTACAAAACGACCGGGATGGGCAAGGACCCACAAGGCCCCCACAACTGTAGCACACACAAGCTTGGCAGGAAGATCTGCAGGAGCAAGCCCCTTGGCAGGCAGAAGGATGTGCTTGCGAGACAGGTTGTGGTAGTGTTCAGCACCCTGTGAAGCTCTTGATTTCCCCGCTCCAGGTCGATCTTTGAGGTCACGGTCCAGCACCTGTGCCACTTGACCACCTCTGCTGGCAGAGCCCAGTTCACTAAGCCAAGTGCCTGTCTCTGTTAACGCCCAGCACCTGTCTCGGGACTCTCTTGGACCGGACTGTGGACGAAAAGGAGCGATGTGGGACTTTGTGTGAAGCCTGAAGCTTGCAGATGTGGGCCCACATGAGCTGCCCATGATGCACAGAGTC